GCCTCGATCCAACCATTTTTCCTCCGCTTCCTTCAACATCTCCACCGCCTACCACCGACCAATTGTCTCCGCCCCAGGTCTACTCTCTATCTGCCGCCTTTGACGAACTCCAACTTGCTCTACCATATCGCAGTCCACTTTTTCATCCGCCTACCACCCTACTTGCCCAACATCACAGCCGCACCACTCCAACGCCTACACTACCAGGCACTCCGTTTTGTCTATCCGCCTCTCATCTACCCTTTGTTGACATCTCCATCGATGATCTGGCTACTCTCCCACCACCGCCTTACCCTTACCCTTTCCCGCCTCTCTCGGCGACAAGTATTCCCAATAATCCGGATTATCCCAAAGAGAGGATTATCCCATATTCGACGAAACTTCGATTTGGATAACACATGTGTGCTAAAGAAAGTACGAACATGACTCGAAAATCCTCAAGAATCCGGATTCTTGGTGTCTCCGAATAAGTTAGTACCCTTTTACGAACTGTTTGAGCCGTTTTACGAACTCTTTTGTCCGGATATACATAGAAATCACGTACTCAAAGAGTTCGTAAATGTTTGTGATTGGTCACTATCAAAGTAGTATCACGGATAGTACCTTGCTTTTTGTATACTGGACAAGTATTCAAAAAATAGTACCCTTTTAAGAACTCTTACGAACTAATTTATCCGGATGGATTCGACGTAGTAAAGTACACACCAACACATCGATCAATGACGCGGCTGGTTATCAGCGATACCAGCTCCGAGGGGCCGCCTCGGAGCTGGTATCGCTGATGCCAAGTCGGGTAAATCAAGGAGGGCATTGACAGTGGTGCATCTGCTGCGTTGGCCGCGGGCCTGCCAGACGCTCAAAGGACCGGAGTGGTCGACCAAGTGACATCACGGACGCCGCCGACGTGACCGCGGCAATATCCAGCCATCGATAGCGGTATGTTGTTGAGCCAAGCATTACAAATCATGTTCGTCACGGAAACCAGTGACTCATCTACGGTTGCCGTCATCGAATCCGGTCAGGAGCTTGTTGGCTTTTACGACGACGTGAGCAAAGTGATCGACGCTGCAGTTGACGCTCGACAACGGACCGAATTTTAAGTCGCAGACGTGGCCGAATGGGCGGACTCAGGATCGCCTGCTGTGGCTTCCATTATCGACGCAAGTTGGACTCGACGGCCGTGTCCTACATGGTGGACTAAACTCGTCGCCGTCTGGAAACGTGGCAGCCGCTGGTCCAATTGTCACTAGTTTGCCGAAGAAGTTGCAGGGACGCAGATACTATTAGTACTGGTACACTTTAACATAGCGTGATTGCTGAGTAGATGGCGGAGAGCCGCCTTCTGACGACGTTGCGATGAGTTCACGATCACAATCAGCATCCATGACGTGCATGCCATCGAACATGTATCATTATACTTGCTTTAATCAATTGATGACCAATTTGAACGCCTCCGCACTGGTAATACTTGTATTCACCTGCCAGTGGAATATTTGCAATATACACAACAGTAGCTGTTGTTGTTACTGTGACGTGATGAGTTGTCTATGACGGTTGACCGTAAACGAGTATTTCAACACGTTGGTTCAACCGCCTCTCATCAGTGAGGAATGCCATGGTCGGCAAGTTGCGGCAGCTAATGTGCTGGGTGCACCGGTTGGTTGACTCTGAGGCTTACTAGTTTTTGCTTTGCTTAACGTTAGAGTGTAGGTTACTAAACCCATGAAATTGAATATTAAATCATAGAGGAGTTCGTGAATAATTCGTAGAGTCCAATATCAGTGAATACTCCCAGTACCAGTACATTATTTCATTGTACCGGTTATTACATTGTAGAGCCTTCCACATCGTCAACATTATACTTGTTAATTTGACTATACTAAAAGTTCGTTCGATTCGAAGTTTTCCCATGGAAACAAATATAAGATTTCACAGTATATATAATAAATCAAAGGATATAGAATTTAAACGACAACTCACAGTCAATTCCGGAATGAGCCGCAATGTCAACATCCTGACCACCAAGTAGGCTCAGAAATGGTACGGCGTCATCAGGATCCTCACCATCACTACAGCTATATTGTGTGGATTGCAATGTCGTGGTGGCTCTGGTGGGCCAACGCGGTGGAGGAAGAGGTCTTGGTAGCACCCATCGCAAAGTGCTAAAGCCGCCACTTCAGCACTTGCGATGGGTGCAATCAAGACGTCTTGCGCCACCGCCCGCGCAACCACGTGATCACACCGGCAGGGAGATGTACGGTACCGACACGGGCTGCATGGTGGAATGAGGGATGACCAATGAAATTGGTCATCCCATAAATTGAGACCTGGTAGAATTGACCGAGTCCTGAATACCACTTCACATGATCTTGCACTCATACACAGCCTACATAATTATCTAAATGCTCCTTGCATCAACAGCCATCACAGGAGCTCCTTCAATCGTGGTTACCACGATGGTCGTGTAAGGTTAATAATACGACGCCTGCATCAAGGCTGTGAACCGTTGTCGCCAAAGCAAGAACTGCGCATTTCCCAATCGGATCAGTTCGCGCCACACGAACGCTTCCTTCTGATCGTCGTCTTCGATGCCCGTCACGTCGATGCCCCACAACACTGCGAGCTCATCGGAGCTGACAACCCCGTCGTAGGCTCGAAACGAGCGTGACATGTGACTGACTGTCCGCATTAAGATATGCGTGGGCGACACCTGACGCACCTCCGTCCTACATACGTCCACGGCACATTACAAACCCACAACAACCTCACAACATGTCCTGAAATGGTAGAGTTATAGGTCTAAAGCATTCACTCACCACGACCGGTAGCGCCGCTGCCTCAGCATAGGGTAGCATGCATGGGCTTCGTCGTCTTCGACGTGCCGCAAGACCATGACGAACCTGTCGGCTTCATAAAAGTGTCCTTTGAGGGTATTCATGAAGGCGCCGTCGGCCGTCGTGGTGCAAAACTGTCGCGTGTTGGCCACCACCTCTTCTGTCACCTAAACCAACGGAAAAAGTCAGATGAAACGTCGACGACTGCCTGGCGGTGTGTTGCCTCGTGGGAGTTCGCAAACATCGTATCGCGCATACGATGGGACTCGACGAATCGACGGAAGGATGCTAACGTTCCTGGCAAAATGCACTGAAGCCGTTCCAAGAATGTAAACTGATCGTCGTGTTTGTCCGACTCATGCAAGTCCAATGCGTAGAACTCTTCGTCATGGTTCGCAGCAGGAAGCAACGCGAACGCGTCGTGCATGGTGTGGTACATTTGCTGCGTGAGCCACTTCTTGCCTAGGTTTCGAGTTCTCGGGTCGGCTACCAACGTCGCACTGGGCCACGTATTGCTGCGGGACACGGGCAGCTACATGCACAGACGAACATTCATACAACGATGCAAGGTGAACACGTACCGCAATGTTCATCATGACAAAGCGTCGCATAGCCCGCTTGAAGAATTCCAACTCTTTTGTTTGAGTGACCAGTGACTCGCGGACCGTCAAGACCCGATGGGCTTCACTTTTGAACACCATGGCAATGGAATGCCACGACAACGGACCATCGCGAGTATCACGCACGGACGGCAGACTCTTGGCTTGAAGACTATCAAGGATCGACTGAAGGTGGAAGACCTCCGCTTCGATGGCCGCCCCATCAGCAATCAACTTGCGGCGATACTTGCGCTGCTTCTCTCGAAAGTATCGACGCCGAGCGAGTGTTTCGTCCGAAAGCGCCCGTGTGGTTGTGCCAACATCCGACGACATCTTGATTTGAATTCTCCAGTGTGAATCTAATGGAGCAACCTGACCTATACGTGGAGCAAACATTGTACTAATAATACTGTTGATTGTATTTTCGCAGTGCTACACCTATACCGAAATACAGTAACATACAGTACGTTACTGTATTCTCACATCGTTGGATGCCTCTCAAAACTCCCATATTTACAAAGTGTACCAATTGGTTATTGTCGATTTGATACAAATTTGGGGAGGGGGTGCAATCCAATCGCGCCGACCAAACCGATCCCCAATCGATCTGATTGGTTGAATTTCTTTGAGAAGGTTTTCATTGGCTAATAATTTTGAGCTCATCTGAGGTAGCCAATCAAATCGATTTAAATTCCAACGAGAAACCATGCCACAACACGAAATTTCACTCGAAAGCACAATACAGTACACAAAACCCTATTTTGATGGAGCTACATTCACAAAAACGTTGAAAATGGTATTGAGCCATGCAATTTCGGACAGAGGTTATGTAGTATAAATACTTGACGAGGAATTCACGAAAGATAAAAGAAAAAAATCGGCACATCACTGGTCGGTCTCGTTAACTTCGTTACTTAGTTATATATATGTAGAAGCACCTCTGTAGCTCCTGATTTCACGCTTCGAGTCCAAGTTTCGAGACCGAATTTGTTGTTAACTTCGTTACTTTGCTACTAATCCTTTGGAACAGTACGTATCCACTTGCTCAGCAACCAATTGGAAATGTTTTTATGCCATGGTATTTCCTATGCAGCATATCGCATGATGAAAGATCGAGTTCCTGACCAAAGGCTTTATTTCTGTCTTGAAGTATGATAACAAATATTTTGAGTGGAATGTAGAAGAATTCACGTTGTTGCTGATTCGGCTAAAATATTGTCATGACGATTTGCGTTGACCACAATTATATGCCTCAATCTCGCACTTGTTTGTGCTAGGAAACGCTTGTAATTGCCTCCTAAGTCATCGCGATTATGAAGTACGATCGATTAGTGAACTCGTCGTGTTGGCAGACCACCCCAAGACTCCAGTGATGCAACGATTGAAACCTTCGATGAAGTGCGTTGACGTCTCAGTACTTGTGGCGTATCCACGAAATCAAAACACAATGTTGGGGGAGCGGCAACTCCCAGGAACACTTGGCGTCGTGTATTGATCTCGAGGAAGCAAATTCTGAACTGACTAGTGTTCCCCTGGCCAACGGGGAACCTAGCCCTAACTAAACTAACCAATGAAAACTAACTGGACTGTCTGACACGCACTATACATGGACTGTCCGTCACCTGTCACCCTTTGATCGCACTAGCCTGACCCAAGCTTCCCGAGCCGTTGCCGCCGCCCACGGTGTCACCCCTAAGAATGTCCTGTGGTGAGTGTTTGCGACTCGGGACCCTGGGTGGTCCGTCAAGGTACGCAACACTCCCCCCAAGCCCAGGTCCAGCAGTCGCACCCTGAGTATGTATTCCGTTGCTCCGGCGGGCCATTGGGTGCAACACCTCGGCGCGAGGTAACTACAGAGATGCGAGAGCCTCGAGCAGAGCTCGGCGTTGTTCTTCATCGTGGAGTCCGTCAACGAATTGTTTCACAAGGAACGGTACTTCGCCGTACATCACAAGGAAGTGCTCCCAGCTGGATTCGATGGCTTTAAGGCCTTTCCACTGTACTAGGAGCTCCCATCGGTTAGTCCCAGGGTTGAGTCGGGCAGCTTCAATCGCGCCGACTGTCAGCACAACGCTCTGGTTGCTGACGTGATCGAGGATTTCCTCCGTGAGGTCGAGGTACTGGTCTGAGTAAAATTTCAGCCTTGAGTGATGAGCTTCCCACTCGTTTCCGTTGATGACGTGTTCAATCACGCATGG